AAAAGGCTTTTTGGGCGTTTTGTATGGAATTTATTTTCACTGATTTTTGATGAGTTTAATGTGAAATATAGGAAAAAAAAGTATATTCGCTGGATTTTATTTTCACGGAATCATTTCTTAAGTGAAAATAGCGAAAATAAATTCCAAGCGAAAATAAAGTATTCTACAGTAAGTCAATTAACATAATTTTTACTCAAAAACTTTGGCCATTTTCGTCGAAATTAAATCTTCTGAAACAGAACTATTTTGTGAATTTGTGATGAAAAGAGTGAACTGATGGTGAAAAGGTTAATGCACTATTCAGGAAACAAAGGACTGTGAGTGAATGAGTTGCATTGAGTCTGTGCACACTCAGCCAGACTACTAAATGAATCTTAGACGAAGAAGACTGATAATTAAATTACAAATGTTGTCTTTGATACATGCTACATCACGACCACTATTTAGTGAAAGCATGACATACAAACCTTATAAGTCCAATAGATGGTCTATGTGTCAACGTCCATGTATAAGCCACATTATGTTCCCATCCTCTCATTTCTGGATCATGCCATAATAACGTGACTTGATCTGTTGTATCATATGAATGCCATAGTGCATCACTCAATGTTTTACCCGGACCAGTACTGGATATAACTTTCTGAAACAAAAAATATCCAAAAAAAAAATAAGATTAGTAATGACCATGTCCATGGAAATCTTGGACCTCTCATTAATATTATCTTCTATTGAGACTAGAATAACTACTGGTTTTTAATTTGAGGGCAGTAGAAATATGGTCAACAACAATTACCGGTACATCACAATAAAATAAAACTCTAAGCACATTTTTAAAAGAAGCAAATAAAAATTTGCTGAACCATTATAATATTATTTATTTTGACTATACACACATCTCTGTCATTTATATGCACACATGCACTACTAACGCAGCAAGTATGGTATACCGGATAATAACAAAGTAAGTTTTATGTAGAACAAAGAAGTAATGAAGCTTCTTAGTACAAATCATCATCGCAATGTTGGGTGATCAATGTCAAACAAACTATGCCCAAAAGTCATAATTCATAACTGCTAAAAATGAATCATATAAATGAAAAAACAAATTTCATAAATTTATCATGTAAACTCTTTTAGCTAGTGTTGTTTGAGGATACAAATCCTTGAAAAAATGTCTGGTTTATGATTTTTTTTTTGCAGAACAGATACCTACATGTAATTAAATTGATACAATCAAAGAATTTCATTGTAAATTTAAGCACTACTATGCACCTCTCCCTCACCACATAAATCATTTAAAAAATAGTGTGAGTGAAATTATGTTTTACTGTTCTTCAACTGATCCTCACCTTTATCTGTAAACCTTTTATACCAGCTCTATAATCAGGATAATTTAAATTCTTATGTCTCCACATCACAATGTAAAACTTTCTACTGCTTTGATATCCAAACACAAAACCCATATAATTTGTACCGACATCAGAATTTACAAACAATGTACCAGAGTAATCCACTGGTCCAAAGTAATCACGACCTATCAACATGAGTGGCATTTCAGTGTCTGCTAACTGGTGAACTTCTTTGCCCTGTAAAAATAATAATAAATTATATTACAGACCGATGGAAGATACAATCACCATACTGCCTTTGTAAGTTTTTTGCAGTATTCTCTTATTAATATACATCTTTTTCTGTCACGCGCAACTACCCTGTAGAGGCATCCTTACATACATGCTGTCTGTAGTGATAATGTATTGGTAGGTTAACAATCCAAAATGGCAGTGAAAGGGGATTCATGATCAGGAGTTCCGCTAAGTTCTGAAGTAGGTGGCTATATAGATTTAGAAAGTAGGAGTCCATAATGTGACTCTGTTCATCTATAGATTGTGATCCTTAAAAACACAAAGTAGTCAATTTAAATAGCTCAGTAACCAGCTATTTAAGTGGTATATAGAGGATAATATTTGGTAATTGTTGTCTTTTTATCTAAGTGCTGGCTCTTAATTTTTTCACCACAAGTATAGTCTTTTCATCACAAATTCACAAAATAGTCCAGTTTATAGTCTGCACTTTCCTTCAGAACATTGTGACAAAAATAGCGAAATTTTTTGAGTCAAAATTGAAGAATAACTCAAATTTTGTTTGTTGGCTCAAAAATTAGGGTTCATTTCCAGAAATATTGAAAAATATAAGAAAACAGTGCAGAAAAAATTGGACGAGGAAGTCTGATGGTGAAAAGGTTAACAAACCCTGCATGAGAGATATCTGGGGATCTAAATATCAATGCCCAAAATTTTCATCTGTTTTCACAATTTATGAACATTTTATAACATTTGAAAGCAACATGAATGCTGACAGTACAAAATCGACTTGTTTGGCATAAACCTGAACTTGAAATAATGAAGTCTCCATGAAAAACAGCATATTCTTGATAACTGAAAGCAGTAATCTCTTTTGCTTGTTCAATAAATACTGTCATGCGCACAGTAGAAACTCAACATGATGATACCTACCTGATCAACTAAATACCATACTGGGGGTGCTGCGTCTGTTAAAGTAGGGTCCAACTCAACTGATATATAATCTTCAAAACTAGTTGTTTGATAATTTATATTTTTTGGGCAATTGTCATATTCATCATCAATGCCATCTCCATCATAGTCGTCCTCGCAATCATCTCCAACCAAGTCACCTAGAAGAGAAAATATTGATTGAAGCGATTAAACAATGTGATCAAGTCACAATATGCAACCTACTATAATGCTACCTTGGCTGTTCAATATAGCAGAATCTAATTAACCAGATAGCTGACCACTCTTGGACATAACCATTGAAATATAACAATACAATAGTCACAGTAGACTTTCAAATCTAGCTGATTCCAGTTTATGTCACCCAGTCAGCAAAATGATCTAGATGGATGAAAGCATAGATTGTTCTTTGAATTGACATTTCGATCTGCTTGCTGTGCAGTGGTTCATCAGTTAGTATATGACAACCACAACTAGAGATCAAAACGGCAGATCAAATGAAATAAACATGTTGAATGTTGTCCCGTCCGCCTGTTTATGTCACAGAAATGACTTTAGCACTGTATTATCATTGCTCACTTAATTCTCAAACAATTTTTTAAATACTATATCATGTAAAATATTCAGTTACGTTGCTAATAGAAAGAAAACAAGTGTTGGAATTTGTAAGTTTCATCATATAGCTGCTATATACTGTACTATGTTAAGATTACCATTCAAGTCTGTCTGTGTTGGATTTGCTACCAGTGGACAATTATCAGATGTATCCGGGATACCATCACCATCTTTATCTTCATCACACATATCACCCACACCATCTCCATCAGTGTCTAACTGATCTGAGTTTGGTACATTCTCACAATTGTCAGCAAAATTGGGAATACCATCACCATCTCTGTGAAATAATAAAAACATTGATTTTGACTGGGATATAAAGTTTCACCAGACCAACCAGTGATTTGTCTGTCGCTTTTTTAATGAGCAAAAAAACAATCACAACAATATTTTTGTAGTATATATTGTAAATATATTTGGCAAATCATACAAATGGTAATTTATTAAATTTTCATGTATGGAATTCCTACTTAATAAAGGCTGAAGAAATATTTTCAGATTCTAGTGGCGGAACTACTGTGATTACATTGTGCTGATAAGTGAAATTTGCTATTAATATTAAACATATGTGAACTTAAATAACATAACTCATTGTTTTACTGAAAATATGGTACTACTGTAAATGCAATATTTATTCACCTGTTTTTATTTTCGCTATTTTTGCTGATAGGTAAAATTCGCTAAACTCATAGTTTTCACATCAAAATAGTGAAATTAAATCCAGTGAAAACAAATGGTTATATAGTACTGTTCTTTATTAGAGGTATGCATAAGAAATAGGGCAGTGCATAAGCAGTGTAAGTTGTATTTACCTGTCTTTATCTGTTCCATCAGGGTCATCGCATGCATCACCCCATCCATTATGATCACTATCAGTCTGGTCTGTGTTGCCAATATCAACACAGTTATCACATGCATCACCTACACTATCACCATCCCCATCTGCCTGGTCACTATTGGCAACAAATAAACAATTGTCTGTATCATCTAAAACACCTAGATAGAGATAGAAAAACATGAAACAAATTAGCGCATCACCAGATACACTGTATTATTTCAGCACACATATGACTGCAATGGATCTGAACTTGGCATACGTTAAACTGTGTGGCAATCTTCCTTTTATGAAGACCTTTTAGTCTGGTGTCTTGAAAAAAACATTGAATTGTTGCCATAAAAACAATACAGTGTTTGATAGGTTAGACATATGCAAGTTAAATAATTAACATATTGAATGTTAGAAATGTGGTCTGTAATGACTTTTTGACCTGGCTTTTTGACCCGAAGCCACTACAGTGTCAGTTTGACCTGGTATTTTGTAATCTTCTTTTCAGAAGGATTTTTCCCAAATTGATGCAGTGCTCTGGATATGTCTACAGAACATAGGACAGACTCAATTCAGCTTTTAAAACTATGCCAACATGAACAAAATTCAAAATTCTTGAAACAAATCAATCTTGTAACTTAGCATCAATATTTTTATCACTATAACAGTAACATATATATCTACATCATCATCATTATCTAACTTACTATCATTATCATCATCAGTATCACATATATCACCATCTCCATCATCATCATTATCTAACTGATCAGGATTGAGATCATTGACACAGTTGTCACAGTCATCACCAACACTATCACCATCAGTGTCAGTCTGACCAGGATTCTTGACATATTGACAATTATCCTACAAATCAAATAGAGAAGCACATCAGATATTTTTGAAAGAGGTGTCTTCCTTTAAAAGTGAGAAGGCATATCAGTAGTAGACACTAGAGGGCAGTGTTTATACTTACATCCTCATCATAGATGCCATCGCCATCATCATCTCTATCACATATGTCTCCTTTATTGTCATGGTCATTGTCTTCTTGTCCACTGTTTGGAATGACATCACAATTGTCAGCTTTACAAATGTCTTCATTGCAGTGCAACGCAATGGCTGGGTACCCATCGCCATCGATGTCATAACCACAGTAAACACCATCACCAGCATACCCATCATTACACTGATGAATTCACAAGAATACATTTCAATAATGTATGTAATAACACTGTTTCACTATATTTTGGAAAATGAGTTTTGATACCGACTCTACAATGAGAACTGTAGAATTTTTTGAATGGGGTCAAGATTGAAGAATGTCAAAAATTCTGAAAGTCTGAAAGTTGTATAATCGAACTTTTTCACATTTCTAGATCAAATCTGGAAAACAAACTAAGGGAATTGTCAGCATCCTTTATTTTAGGTTTTTGTCATATTACCTCAAACCCTGCAAATAGAAGTGTGCATGGAATCATGGGAAGAAGCATGGTGCATTGCCGTGTGATAACTGTCATAAAGGTGATTGACAGGACATACAATGTACTTGTTTTCAACTCTGGAAGGACAAGTAGAATCTACCAGGTGTGCTTGAGATTTACATAACAAAGGGTGTTTACAACTTTGGAAGAAGAATTAAAATCTATCAGGTGTGCTGTTATTTGAAGTAAGTAAGTAAGTAAGTAATTCTTTATTGCTATCGTATCCCATTTGAGATCTTGACAAAAAGTACAATAAAGTCAAAAACATGTAATAATAAAAAAATGAAAAATAAAAGGAAATACTAAAAATACAGTAAGAAATAAGAAAGGATGTTTATGATCTACTGAGTTGCTACATGACACAGTTGCTAGCAAGATCACATTCTGATTGGCTAATGTGGAAACCCAGATTCTTCATTCATGACTGTACATTTCTAAACTGCTTGGCATCATATTTTCATACCTCACTTTAGTTGCATCCCCATCTTGTATTATGTGCAGAACACCTCCCACCGATTAAAAATGATAAATTAGGTTGTTTTGACCAGAAATACTGGAATACTGAGCTAACTGAATACCTGCAACATGGTTGTGGTATGTAATTACTAAATCAAATGTACTTTTCATTATTGTAATCACTCAAAACCGCTATTTTATTATTCTAAATTTAATTCCAAGATTCTGTTGGATAGGATTTCTCATGAAACATACAAAATCCAATGCCCTTATTATATTTACATGGACCAGGTCTCACATATTGAAAATGAAAATTTAACTTTTGTGAAATTATACACTTGCAAATACAAAGAAAAATTGTGCATTTTAGTTAACAATGTACTGTGGAATACTTTATTTTCGCTGGAATTAATTTTCGCTGAAAAGGCGTTTTGGGCGTTTTGTATGGAATTTATTTTCACCGATTTTTGATGAGTTTAATGCGAAATATAGGAAAAAAAGTATATTCGCTGGATTTTATTTTCACTGAATCATCCAATCAGCGAAAATAGCAAAAATAAAGTATTCTACAGTATTTCTCAATAAATAAGGCAAAAAAATGTAATAGCATTTTTGCCCCACCACTTGATCTTAGCAGATACAGTTCAGGTAATAGCAAGTTGACATCCAGCGAAAATAGCGAAAATAAATTCCAAGCGAAAATAAAGTATTCTACAGTAACTGAACCTTTGACAGAAGATTGAGATAAGTGTATTTACCTCACATATGTAAGTTCCAGGTCCAGTATATATGCAGGTAGCATCATCATGACAATTATTTGTGCCCAAGTCACAGTAATTTCCACTTAAACATCCAATGTATCCATCTCCTATGTAACCAGGTGGACAGGTACCACAGGTATAACTTCCCTGAAAACATAGAGAATTTGCATAATGTAGTAATTACACACCAATAACAAAGTTACATTAGTAAACTTGTGCCAATTTCATCACAATCATCATCATTATCTAAATCACTATCATTATCAGTGTCACACATATCTCCATCACTGCCATTATCAAACTAACTTTCATTTTCATCAGTGATGCCAATTTAAGAGAACCAGAAAGAAACTAGCAATAGATTTGCTCTATCCGAAGCACATCTCCAATAGAAGTGCATGTAAACTAACAGTTGTATTTATTGTATACTGAATCATTATATTTTCTTAGAACAAATACAGTAGGTAAAACATAATGCCAATTTTATTTTTGAATTTGAGAAGAATGAGAGTATTTTTACTAAAGAAAATATTTGTCATGTGCTGGGTTTTATCCAAAATCCTACCAGGGGGAGAACTCATTCAGACCACTCAGTTTTCAATTGAAATTCATCAGAGAAAGAGTCAGTGGAAATTGTAATAAACATGCTACATGTATAACTAGAATATGGAGAAAGCTATATATGCACCAATGTTTACCAACCAACCACAAATATGGGAATGTTTGGCATGGCTGTCAAGAATGATTAATGTATTTTACATACTGGGATCTATTTGTTAGAATATGTATAAGCATAATGTAGCAAAACATACTTACTATTGTATTTGTACATACTGACAGTGGATCACAGTTATTGTCACCAGTGAGGCATTCATCAACATCATCACAAACCTGAACAATATGAAGTAAAATATAATTAAAACCCAGACCATATAGATGTCATCTAATTACTGTTTCACATTTAAAGTTTGTGCATGGTAATATATTCCTGGTTTGATGTTTACAATCAAAACTAAGAATGAAGTACATACCAAGAAAATTTATGTATTGCAGTATGACCTGCCATGTGCAGCTCTGAAAGACGACAACTTTTAAGGATCCAAAATGTTCAAGAAAATCATGAAATTAACATTTAATGGTGAACATTTAATGGTTCTACAGTATATAATGTATTACCTACCTGGGTCTGAGTAAGTATGTGTTCTATTCCTACACCATGTGGTGCATATCCACTATAACCACACGGACATCCACTACATGTATATCCAGGTGCTAAATTAATACATTCTTCAAAACATGCACCTGGGTTAGCAGCACACTGAAAATACACACACATTTATTAGTATTAGTCTACAGTAAAAAAAGAATAGAACTACCGTTACTGCTATATCGGTATATGGCTTGTTAGGTGTCTGTAAATGATATTGTCTGGACGTGGAAGTTATTATTATTCATGATATTTAGATATTTATGATATTTATATTTGTTACAAATAACAGTTTTATTATTAAACACTGTCACAGAACTCTCAGTCACACATTACATTTTTGTAGGGTAAAGCGGGAAACTGAAAGGAGATATGGTGAAAAAGAGATGTTAGGAATTAATATGGAAGACATGCAATGTTATCCCAACACATTGTGGTTACCTGATGCAAATATTTAAAGCATGGTGGTCCTTGTGTTCGGTATGCAACATACAAATCAAGTGTTGACATACATTGTTGGTTTGCCTGCCATACAATGATCATCACCTTGTACTATAGTTATATTTAGGCAAATCAAGAGAATCACAGATAAAATGTGACAATTATTTCAGAAAACAGATATTTATAACAAGATTGCTTTAAGGAGTGTGATTGAAAAAAGCAATGAGAAGAAATTGCCTTATAAAATATATTTGTAAATGGAACTAAGAGATGAAGGATGTGGCAGTAAAAGGTCATGTATTGATAACTTTACCTCATCAATATCGATGCATGTTAAGCCATCACCAGTAAATCCCTCTGGGCACTCACCACACGCAAATGTACTGCCACCAGTGTTAACACATTGTACATCACCAAAACATGGATTAACGTCAGCCCAACATGGACCTGAAATAACACTTTATTATGAACATATTTGAATTCTACTACTGTAAAATGACTAATTTTCACTGGGTTTAAATTTCACTGATTTAGCGTTTCAGGCATATTTAGTGGGTTTAAAATTCACGGTTTTATCATTTGGATAATGTGTTCTATGCTCAATTTACATATTCACTGGGTTTTAATTTACCGCATTTTCCAGTCAGCGAAAAAAGCCAAATTAAAACCCAGTGAATAATTAACCCTTTTACAGTATTCCACTGGCCATGCTCTAAAAGCATTGTGGATCACTGATTTTAGCTGGAATATATTACAACAGAAAATATCTGTTTGCGTTTGTTTTTTTTTATTTTCACAGACTTGACATAAATTACACACAGACCTCTTTTACTGGATTTTAAATATCCAAAAAAATATATCGAGTGTTAAATTATATTATAAATAGAATTGTTTTAATAATCATATAGTGCCCTCTTGTGGTAAAAAAATAACTTGCTCAGCATTGCTTGTAACATTTCAAAATGGTATTTTTTGAGGGGTTTGGGAGATCATGGGACGATATTCTTCTAAAATCTGCAGTATATAGAATAATGTAAAAAGATCTGAGTTTATAGTTTATAGTTTATAGTGTTTTCCTATCTGGTTTAATTTTATGTCTGACCTCCACTGAACCTATTTAGCATAAAGTAATAAAGATGAGTGAAAACTAAAAGATTTTATTGTGCTTTATGCACAATTTCATTGAAATAAAAGAAAAACTTTGCTTTTTGTCCCTGATTAGTGATTTTTTTTCTTGGAATATATTAAAGCTTAGCAATTTATTTATTTCGAGATCCTGTTTATATAAACTAGTAAAGGAATCTATAAAACCATACTAGACAAACAAATTTGCATAATTATTACTTACAATTGGAAACACTTGTACATGTTTTACATGCAGTACAATCGCCATCTGAATATTCATCTGGGTCACAGGGGTCACACGCTGTTTTGCATTCTGTACTAGAATAACCTGGTTCACAGCATAAACATTCAGATTGTGCAGACTGGTTGTTATATGACCCTGGTTTACAACACTTACAAAACTCTGGAAGGAAAATAACGACTGGTTGTTATATGACCCTGGTTTACAACACTTAAAGATCTCTGGAAGGAAAATAATGACTGGTTGTTATATGACCCTGGTTTACAACACTTAAAGAACTTTGGAAAGAAAATAACGACTGGTTGTTATATGACCCTGGTTTACAACACTTACAAAACTCTGGAAGGAAAATAACGACTGGTTGTTATATGACCCTGGTTTACAACACTTAAAGATCTTTGGAAGGAAAATAATGACTGGTTGTTATATGACCCTGGTTTACAACACTTAAAGAACTTTGGAAAGAAAATAACGACTGGTTGTTATATGACCCTGGTTTACAACACTTAAAGAACTCTGGAAAGAAAATAACGACTGGTTGTTATATGACCCTGGTTTACAACACTTAAAGAACTCTGGAAAGAAAATAACGACTGGTTGTTATATGACCCTGGTTTACAACACTTAAAGAACTCTGGAAAGAAAATAACGACTGGTTGTTATATGACCCTGGTTTACAAAACTTAAAGAACTCTGGAATGGAAATAACGACTGGTTGTTATATGATCTTGGTTTACAACATTTACAAAACTCTGGAATGGAAATAACGACTGGTTGTTATATGATCTTGGTTTACAACATTTACAAAACTCTGGAAAGGAAATAATGACTTTGATGATAATAGAGGATGATGATGTTCAGGTCAAAATGCACATAGGAGCTTTCAGTTTAATAAAACAACAAAATGGTAATGGATGAAAAAGGTAATTATGCAATTTACCATATTGCCTGCTGAAAGCCAACACACAAATCAATGGCAAAGAAAGTCAGCAGGCAATGAGTTAACAAGTTAACATATTTGTTCTATTAGGAGTGCAACTCATAATTTAAGTACAGTGAAACATTAAAATATTATTTATTTTAACCACAGAATCACCTTGACACTTTATATAAGCATACAAGTTAAAATACAGTACTGTTTGCATTTTTTCAATATTGAATAATAATTAACTTTCAACTTGAGAGTTTGTGTACGATCCAACACATTCGTCAGTGGAGATAATGTTGAAGATTTTGACTTTGACTGTATTCCAACAAACTCTAATATTTTTAATCTCATAAATTTGGGTGGTACGTAATTAATATTGTAATAAAATGTGCATATTTTTTGTGACCATTTCTGTTTCTTCATTGTAAAAGTCGATGACAACGCAACTAATTTTCGTAATTTTATTTTCCCTCAAAGACGTAATATCCCCCTTAATCACATGGTGAATTAAAATTATCATTTGCACTCTTTTTTGAGGGGGATGCTCGGGTAAACACCCACACCTAAAAAAAATCATGATTTTCTGAGTTGAGGACCCTGGGCACTATAAATGCAGTTGAGTATGGTAATACTTTTGTCTATTAAGGCAATGCATGTTACAATATGATCATTGAAAAAAAGGTCTGAAATGTTTGTTTGTGCATTAACAGGAGACGGTACTTCCTTACCTGTATTATACCCCAGTGAGAAATATCCTGGTCCACATATGGAAGCAACACCCTCAAAACATGCTGTACCAGGCTCACACAATGTACATGATGATGGGCAGGATGTTTCATCACATCGACCATGGTGATATATAGGACATGGTGTTGCATAACCATCAGTACATAGCTACAATACAAATTTGACAGTACTCATTGTCATCTCAATCCTGTTAATGATCTACAACATGCTTTATATTAATACATTTACTTTATTAATCCTATACATGATAATCCTGCAGATATTGTGAATATTAGTACACATACTGTATTGATTCTGATTCTCGAGTCCTCATGTAAGGGTATACATACTTTTTAGTCGTGCAGACACAGTGAGTAGTTTCAACAGATGTTACTATTAAAACATATACTGTATTAATCTTATTCACAAATGCTTCATGTATGGGTATTGCCAGCATACATCCTTTAATTATTACAGGTGCTTATTAAAACCTTAAATTTATTAGTCATAGACTCACTAATTAGATATGTTGGGAATATCAAATTCATCAATAAAACATTTACTCTGTTAATATTAGACAATTGCATCATGGGAGTTTTATCACATAAAACTTTTAAAACTTACCCATCCTATGGGACAGGGGGAACACTCTTCAGCATGTCCAAATGAGTGCTCCGTTATTGACCTATCACACGGTGATGGTGGATCGCATCGACCACAAGGACGTTGGATATCATCACCAATACAGTAGTAAGTAGTCTCACATCGAACACACTCAGTGTCATCTACAGGATGAAATGTTAACTATTTATCAAAGTAAAACTGACAACATGCATAATAAACTGTAAACCAATAATATTTACTGCTATTCATTTTCACAGGATTTTATGGCATTCGTAACGACAAAATGTTGTGAAAGTTACTGATACTTTGTGTTATAGGACCACCAGAGAAATTTTTACAGCAACAAAATGTTGCGATTTTCACTGACTTGCAAAAAGTTCTACAGCCTTTAGGTTGTTCTATTGATCATAGTCTATCAATAGTCGTCTTGCTGACGTTTCTGTGTGAGCGGCGTAAACATCGTTTCTGTACCGAAGGAATGAAATGTCAAGCTTATGGTGCTCAGGCAGAAACGAGCATTTCATAGGCAAGATGACTGTTGACAGTCTATACTGATCATTACATTATTTAATGGGATTTTATCTGTAAAAAATCTTTCATGCATATCATAAGAGAGGGATGTCAACTTGCTATTACCTGAACTGTATCTGCTAAGATCAAGTGGTGGGGCAAAAATGCTATTACATTTTTTTGCCTTATTTATTGAGAAATACTGTAGAATACTTTATTTTCGCTATTTTCGCTGATTGGATGATTCCGTGAAAATAAAATCCAGCGAATATACTTTTTTTCCTATATTTCACATTAAACTCATGAAAAATCAGTGAAAATAAATTCCAAGCAAAACGCCCAAAAAGCCTTTTCAGCGAAAATTAATTCCAGCGAAAATAAAGTATTCCACAGTAAGTTGATACACAGATGGAACTCATGCAGAATAGAGTTTGATTGGATGTATATAGATATCCTAGTTGCATACCCTCATAATGCCTTGGTATGCGATTATAAACACCTGTGTGGCTGACAATACTAAGTTTCCCATTGTTACTTTCACCAGTTGGTTACAAAGTTCAATCAAAATTGTCTCATATATTATTAATACTAATATAATTAATATAATATTGTAATATTATTATATCAAGGAGAATATCATTTAAAAATTTTCAGTTAAATATACTCACGCAATAGTCTTCTTGCTGGTGTGCAACCTAATAATTCAAATCTTAAACCTATCCCGGTATTCCATGTTATTGGATTAATTCGTATATGTTGTGATTTGATGGTACTGTGAAAAATGTTGTTCTTAAACGACCCACTATTATGGTTGCCAGTGAATACCTGTATAAGTACAGATAAGAAGAATTACAGGATTACTGTCAGAAATTGGCCACTGAGCATTGCCATGGTTATAGGCCATTCACTTTTCTATGTATTCATCCTATGTATTGTACTGACCCATTGTTTTATGTTATCTCAATCTAGCCCATAACTTGATACATATTTGACCAACTCGATCAGGAAATCCTATTCCCACAATCACTTCAGAATATATTACTTACTCAATCAATCAGAGTGCACTCTACTTCAAGAATGAGTGGCCATTAAAAATTGCAAGATTTGAGGAAGACTTCCTATGGGAGTTTGTAAGATCTATGTGTGGCTTTCACAATAAAAAAGTAACAAAAACAGTAGCAAAATTAAGAAAAGAGAAAAATTACACTTTAAAATTGATCTTATTTTAATCAGATTGGATCAAGTACATGTATACACTTACCACATCATTCCCATTGTCATCAGTGAAGCTTGTGTAGGTACTTCCATCATCACTGTATTGTATTTTAAATGTTGTAACCCAGTATTCTTTATCAGGATTACCCTGAGTTACAATGCCATTATAGAGGTATGTCTCACCCATATCAATAGCTAGCCATTGTGATGTATCAAACACTGCTGGTACCCATCCTAGATATTAGCAAGGTAAAGACATTGGGCTATGATATGTATAACTGTAATTTTATTACACATACATTATACATTGTGCATGTTGATTATATGTGGATAACACTGTATTTGAAGTGAATTCATAAACTAAATTCATTAAATCAACATTACAATTATGGTGTACGTTAGGTCATGTTTGTAGATGAAAAACATAACAAACAAAGGTCATAGCATCAGAGTGGCATCAATCTAATTATCACAAAAGTATTTTTGGAGTATTTGCTATGTACATTTGATGGTCAATGGTCAATTTTGATGAAGTAACGGTATCTCCACAGCATACTCCCTGCTGATTGGCATTTTGATATTGAATTATAGAAAAAGAAATTTAGGTTCAAAATTAAATCATTCAATTTTTATGGCAGATGCTTGATCATTTTATGCATTACTTGAGATCTTGCAGTAAAAGAAAAATTATCTATTATTATTATTTAAAAAACCCTGTGACTATGTTTAATCCTCATTGTTTCTATATTATTTCACTTGTTAGAGTAATAAAAAGAGCTAGGTGGACTGCATCACCCGTTTTCGCAAGCTCTGATGTAAACATAATCTCTCACAAACAGGTGTGGGATTAAGCTGATAAGTCTTGTATTTTATCTTGGTAAAATTAATAGATCTGATTGGAGGCGTCTCTAAAGAATGTGCCCAATCGAAGATTGCATAACATGTGACAAATGGTCTTATATATAATGTAGCGTTGTGTTGCCGATCAAGAAGAATTGCCGATGCAGTTTTTGGTGGCTTTTCCACAGTTCCTAATTGCCATAGTTCCATGATTGTCTCCGGTATGTGGCCTAGGTTCTGAACAAGAACTACTGTTACAGTCTGTTAAAACTTATTTATGTAGACTATCACTTGATTTGGTTACAATGCGATTTTGACGCAGATACCGCAGTCGATTCAATGTGTCCGTTCCTTTCAATGCAAAGCACTTAGTTGGATACAAAGCCTCAGCCTCTAGCATGGGTCGGTTTGTGCAAAATATTGAAATCATTCCCAAAGCAAGTGCACAGTTCTTACCTCAGAGACATACAGTTGCTATGTTTTTAAACATATGACGGTTCACTGAGAGCATATAATTTGCATCACGCACATGAATATTACCGTGCATTTCAAGGTGGCAGTATGTCTTATCGGTGTTTCTTTAGTACAGTGAAAAATTGGGTAACAAATTAATAAAATGAGTGTTGGTGTATTTTTAGCCCTCATGTAACAGATAGTAAAATCCGGGGCTGAGAAGAAAACTTCTACTGAACAATTTTGCCTGTGATGCAGCTATAATGAGCAATTGACTGGACAATGCATTGAAGAAAATATCTCAAGTATTTCCAGAGAGGATCGCACTTAAATAAACATTGGCTATATACCATCTGTCAAGGTGTAGTGCTGAGGCCAAGGCCGAATAACTGAACCTTGGCTAGCAAAGATGGGTTAAGTGGTCTCGCTTTACCTGAGCCTTTTGGTATAGTATCATCTCTTCCTAGTGTCAACCTTGCTCTTTCTTTACTAAACTCATCACTTTCCTCGGATGAAGCTGACATCCATTCATCACGTACCACATAATTTCTCAAACCAAGTTCTTCCCGACAACCTGAAAAGGTCACATGGAGAACATATAATTTGCAATTATCTTCAACCTAGAAGACTACAAGTATGTTGGAACTGGTGAAAAATGGAATTTATACATTTTTTGATAGAAATCTGAAAAAGAAATTATATTATATACTGATTAATACTGAAGTTTGTCAATGAATGTGCTTTATATAAACAATAATCACACATTGCAATTCCCCTTTACATTCAAACAGAATTCAAACAGCCTTCTGACCAACAAGAACAATATTGCTATTGTGATCCACTAGTAAATATACAGAAAATTTGCTTTTAATGTTTAATATTTGTGTCTTATGTGAAATTAATTGCAAGAAAAAGCCTGCATGTCATCAATTTATATCATTTAGCAAGTTATAAACACTTTGCAATATGTATTTAGAAAAGAAGAAAAAAACAGTGTAAAGACCATCGTTGGACTTGTCTCTGTATTCTAAATGAGAAAACTGTAGATATATTCCATGATTGTGAGAATGATGAATGATGCAGATTCTCCTTACTCTAATGATAACACACTATAACATGGAATGAATAAACATGATTGGGAAGGAAATAGTACAACAAAACAAACTGTTACATAGCACTTACTGAATTCTAAAATGTAATATTTAGGAACTCTAAGATATACTTTTCCAGTAGTATAACCAGTATAGATACTGATATCTATTGGATCACCTCTTGTATCAGTCAAACACGTATCATGCATAGTGATTTCCACTGTAACAGTGTCTCCACGTGTTGGGGTACCACCATCTATTGCAGCTAAGGTAAACTCAACTATGCTAGTATCATTGTAATTTGACCTATTTAAAAAAAAAAGCTGTTAAACTTCTGAAAATATTTTCCTTTTTACAGTGACAGTGCTAAATAATGTATACAATACAATCAAAAAAGCAGAAAATTAAAAAGTGACAACCATGGTTGCATATGCTAAATATCTGACACAAAATACAATGAAGATGAATGCCTATATCTAGAAATACTGATATATAAACTAGCGAGTCTTACACGAATTACACGATTTTTCAAAACTGTCAGCTGACAAGAATAGGATAGGAGTAAAGTTGCATGTAATTTCGCCTTTAGGCTTTGATTGAAAGAGTTAAGAATTCCATACACTAACACTATATTAACAACATACCCTTATCTTTTCATCTATGACTGACTACAGTGTTAATGTCTACTTACCTCTCACTGTATTCAGAGACATGGTAAGTCACTTCCCCACTTACACCACTATCTAAATCACTTGCATTGACAACAAATAGTGGATCCGATTGTAAAATTGGTTGTGGGTACAGACTAATAGTTGATGATTCACTCAGTTCTGGACAGTTGTCATTTACATCTTGAACGACAACCTGAAAATTTACAACAGTGGTTTGTATTATTAATTTGCTACATAATCATTCAAATTCTTCAAATCACCCAGAATTCATTGCCATACTCAATAGTACATCTAGTTTTTACTTTGACATCCAGAATGCCAATATCCCTATGTAAAATATGCATATGGCACAACATCGCTTGCCGGCGCCGTTTTTTTCCATAAAATTTGGCTATAGGTGGAGCTCCTAGTAGACCATCGTGTAAACAGACTTCGTATGTATAAAGATGAGCTTGATATCATAGTATTTTTGTTACCACTAACCTTGACAACAATTTTGCCATCAGCTGCAGGGGATGCGTTATTGTCAACAACACCAATAATAATCATATATAGAAAAGCTGCTTCATAATCTAATCCAGTATCCAGAGTTAACAACACATTATCTGTAGTAATGCTAAATTCCTGGCTCCCAGAAACAGCAGCTTCAGTAGCTGGTGAACAAGGAAATGTTTTCTCTTTTTAAAGTTTCTGAGTACAGTATATAGAGAACTGAAAGACTGAGAATTCTAAACAAACTGTCCATGAACTTTCAAACAGATTGTGAGAATGCATTTTTATACCTATTGTTGAATAAAGACATTTCTTCTTGATTATTCATACAGCCATTTCTTGGTAGTGCCAATGATAGGTTTGTGTCTCCTTTGTTGGCATTTGAGCATGACTCATTGCCTATTTTGTCGTTTAATAAATAAAATAAGTTTTGAATAAAAATGTACATGTTTACTAATGATAAATACTCACATACATGTATACTTACCAATAACTGATGGAGACGTACACAACAGGAATGTAGTACCATTGATAGTATCAGTTAAAGGTGGGGTGACTGTGGTTGGTGGAAGAGCAGCTACACGATTAGCAGTATTGTCTTCAACAATTGTAAAATGTCTTGCTTCATTGCCTGTGAATGAGTGTTTCAATATATACTTTAGACAGGTTAATTTTAGCATACTTTTTTTTGCCACATGCCTGTAATGTTAATGTCATGAGTAAAATAATTGAAGTTCACTTTCTGTTGAATCGTTTTTGGAATGTTATGTTGCGATCTCTGGTTACATGACAAAACAATGGTGAACATATTTTAATAAATATGACGCATACATCAATCTATGTCAACTTTGCAATAGGTTATGTTATATTGAACTCTCTTAATAATAATGATTCCTGTGTGATACTATGCATGGAGCAGTCCCGGCTAGTTATTAAATTTAAGATATACAGTTTTATAGTAATATAGTTTGAACACAAACAGTTCAGAAATATGGATCCAGAAGCTGATTGCTCGATTATGATGATTTTTTAACATTAAAATGATTGACATTCAGTCATCTTGAATCCAATCTGAAAAACAAAATGACGTGCATCAGGGACTCATAATGTCTAATGTACTGTGAATGCATTCATTATTTACTGGGTTTTAATTTCACTATTTTCTCTGATAAGTAAAATTCGCTAAATTAAATCTATGTGAATATGTAAAATATGGCACTAGAACTAGCTGATATGGCACTAGAACTGCATTCAATGTAACAAAATTGCCACCAATCAGTCTTTTGAATCCGATCAGAGAATTTTAAGGTATGCGTATAGTTACGTTTAAGATATAGGTCTGGATGCACACATGGACACACTGACACACAAAGGTCAAACAATAGACTTAAAGAAGATGAAAATGAACTGAAAAGATACAATTTAAAATCTTTTTTGGCGCATTGCAAATAAAAAGGATATATTTAAGCATTTTTGAAAAATGAACTGTTTCACAGTATACGATAATTCTCAAATAATTTTCAAAACATCAGCAAATTCGAACATTATCATCAAGTGATTTTGAATACCGGTAATTCGTGCTAAAGAGGAAAAATAAAACTGCAGCTGTTGGTAATCAAACTAAAAGTAAATATTCTGAGTTGTAGAATATATACTTATTATTATATATCTATCACCGTAACGCCATAAGTTACAGCGTGCTGTAATTTTGCGGTATTTTACAGGGTATTTTCCTCTAAATATAAAAACAAACATGGCTGCCACCATAGTTTACCGAATTCAACATAAAGAAGTTTGCTGATTCTGTTCTAAACATTTTGGATTTAGGTATTTCCATGGTGTATCCTTGGAAGGAAAAGATGTATAATAATAAGGTTATTACGAAGATACCTCAAAGTATGCACTCAGACAGTATGCCGTACCTCGACCTCCACTGCGCATTGGTTGTACTCCAGCTGTACTGTCTTCGTGCATATTCTGAGGTGGGAGATTTTCGTAATAACCTCATATTATTGCATAACTCATACAGACAAATCAGTAAATAATATGTGTCCTGAGGAAATACAGTATTTTTTATATCTAGCATGAAAGGGTGCACATCCAAGTATAATAGTCACCTTGTAAAATGGTTACATTGTAATCACCAACGGAGAATGCATCTGTTATTACAACAGTTTCTATAATTCCACCAACATGAAAATCTTCATCTGGTTTTACGAGGTAATCTAACGGTGGTTCTACATCATAGTCTACAAACTCTGTTCCTTCTGTTTCTAAGTAAAATGAGGAACTACATCCAAGTCTTTCAGTGAGAAAGATATCAAAGTGGTAGACATGGCCAGCCTGAAATAAAACAGGAAAAAAAAGTAAGTATTAAATAATTAATGTACAGCAATAAAGTACTAGTTATGAAGTAGAAACTGTATTGTATCAATGGTGATCATCAACACTTGTCAGTACAGATCAGCAATAGACACTAGGTTGAGCAAATGTCAGTAATTAGTAGTACATTAGATTTTATTTTACTACTAGCATTGTCAACTCACCTCAAGATCCAGAAAGACCTTTTCATCAGAAAGAGTCTGTGTGATTACACATTTACCATTAACAACTGTCCCTCCTTGTGGTGTGATGTAGCCACCTCCTGAGTTAAGAATTAAGTCACAATCAAAGAAAGCTTAGAAAGAACTCCCGTGTGGCTGAGAGTATTGAAGACACATTAAAAATTAATTAAAAATTACATGTACCTGTACATGAGATATTGATAGAAAAGCTG